GACATATATCTAATTGACATGATCGTTGTTCTTTATTATCTAAAGATTCTAAATGAACAGTACCAATACGTACAATTTCGTTTTGATCTAATTTTATTTCTGCAAGTATTAAACGACGACCCATTGTTGACTGTGGAAAATCAATCAAATTTATATTAGAAATATGAAGTCGAATATCAATTAATAAGACAACACCATACCAACTATTAAATGTACGACCATCGATATAGGATAAATAATATCGTTCTTTAACAAATGATTGTGATGCAAGTTGTTGAAGAGTATTTTTTGTCACTATATATATATATATATGAAAATCAAAAATATTTCTTTTATTAAAATAAGGATAAGAAAAAACAACGAACTTTCTTGTAAACCAATTATTTGAGCTTGAGATTTGTTTAATATATCACAGAGACTGTTAAAACGCATTGGTTGATATTCACCGGAAAACCAAACATTATATGTAACAACACGAAATTTCTCCCAATGTATTGTTGGATTATTTTGATCAGGTTGTTTTGGTGACCATTTTTTTCTTTCTTTGTTATATTTCCATAATGAAATTGACAATTCTTCTTCTTCTTCTTCCATATTATTATCTATATGAGTAGATTTTTGACCCATTAATATTGAACAAGGTACGATACTTTCAGTGTTTTTATTAATCAATATTGAGATTGTTCTTCGAGGATAGAAAACAAAAAAATGTGTCGTAAAACAGTCCTATTAGTTGTTATTTAAGGGGGAACCCCCCCTCCGAAACCTATCTTCTAAACGATACAACAGATTTCGATGAAAATTTCAGGAAATAGAAAAGCTAATGTAACTAGCATCTGATAAAAATTTCAACCAATCATTTTTGATAATTAAGAAGCTATACTCAATTTACTCATAAAAACGGGGGTTTTGGCACGGAACATTTTCCCGATGCGCGGTAGCATGAAAAATGTTGAACTTTGTTTCAAAATGAAGAAAAATCTTTTATCTAGAAATTGTAGGAACAGTTTTTTGAAATTCGTTTTCGTTCAATTGTAGTAATCATTTTAAACCGAAAATCGCAAAAACTGCTTTGAGCACTTTCAAAGATTTTCAAATATCTAAACAATGGAGATATATTTTGAAAATCTGTTCCGACAATTTCTAGAAAAAAGTCTCATCTTTTAAATAAATAAAAATCAGCAGAGTACATCAAGCGGTGAACTGGGAAAATGTTCCGCAATGGTCAGAAAACGATAAAAAAGTGAAGCTGAGAAAAACGAATAACAACATTGCGACGTAGTTGATGATCTTCTTGCAGAGAGAATTCGAGCATATTATATATCACTGAAAAGCGCACAAAAAGTTCTTACAGTTGGTAGTATTTTCAAGAAAAAAATAAGCCGATTTCTTAAGCTAATTTCTGAATCCAAGTTCACTGTAGCGCCATCTCTTCGAAAAATAGCCTAATTTTGAACCTTTCTTATAAGACTGCAACATCCAAAACATGATTACTCGATACGGTAATGGTTTTAGAGTGCTAATAAAGAAGGTAGAACGATATTAGTTACCGATAATTAAGAAAGAAAATCAACAAGACAGCCGATTTTCCATTATAGCGTCCAGTAAACTTGCCAAAATTAGGCAAAATATGTTCCATTCCTATATAGTTTATACATATTCTGAAAGAGGACACTTGGGGCTACAAGAAGATGTGTTTTTCCAAAAATCGACTTTTCAAGGAAAAAACGACTTTCGAAGGGGGGGTTCCCCCTTAAGATGAATCATAACAGTTTTTGTCTTTCTTTCGTTAGAAAAGAAAAACCCATCTGGCAACTAGCTCTCGGTTGTATTATATTCCTTATCATTGGATCAGAAGTACAATATGTGTTAAACCAATCCAGTTTTTTCTAAAATTACGTGACAAAAAAAGTCTTATTAAAATAAGGATATTTTACTTTATTCTCTTAAATAATTTAATATAAAATATATTGAAAGATTCATTAAAGACTCAACTAAACAAAATATCATTTTGATTCTCTTCTAGCTTTTTCACTATTAACACAAACAGGATGTAGATGTGTCTGAATCTGACTGTTGTTGTTTGTACGAATGCAGGTGTATATTAGTATGTATATTGGTTTGAATCTGTTTCTCATTTTGCATTTTGATGGTGTGCATGTGGGCGTTGATCTAATGTCGATCTTAGTTGATGTGGATGTGTATATAATGATATCCACACCTAATGCATTCGATTTGGTTGGTGGTACTATTTTGTTTTTTTTAAATATGTTTGAGTTTTTAATTTCATAAAACATACGATGAAAAAAGTCGATCTTAACAATGACGTATTTAATTTGATAGTCTTGTTAGAGAACTATTATATTTGATCTGTAATTCTACTCTAATGAAATGAATCTAGAAAAAAAAAATCCCATCATTACTTGACATAGTGACAATACTAGTTGAGTAATTCTAGAGTGTAATGTTGAGTGAAAGAGAAACTTATACTGTTACATGATCAATATTTACATCAGTACATTAGGTCTAGAGCGGCATGGATTAGTTGAACGAATTGTCTTATTAGAAGGACAAACAAATATAATTGAACTGCAGTTGTTTAAGTCAATTCGAGTGAAATTGATAAGAAAAAAAGCTAATGTCATAGTTCTTTGAATCGAGAGTAGGAATGCAATAATTCAAATTTCAGTTCCGACCAATTGGTGCATCCCTAATAGAGAGTTTAAAAAGTAACATTAGAAAACTCATTTTCACTATGAAAAAAAAATATTTTTTTTTTTATTCAAAAATGAATTTCAATGTATTTTTGTGATGAAATTATCTTCACAACTAGATTATTATTTAATTTTAAATAACTTTATTAAGAGATTAAAAAAAATAGAGAACTCTTTATGTTTAAAGTTATTATTCTGTGCAGTTTTAGAACAGGTGATAAACTTTCATATGAAAAAGGCATATTTTTCGATGTGAGAACTCCGAAAATAAAATCATCTAATGAATATTGATTTTGATCAATTCGAAGTGATATATCTTTAATATCATTTTTCTCAACAATATATGAAGTTACATAAATTAAAAAAAAAAACTATACTCTGGTATGCAATCGTTAGGTAAACGGATCGATCTATCTATACTTTTAAATTCAGATATTTTATCTATTTATTTTTATTTATATGCTCAAGTCAAACAATCAGACAGTAAGATCTTGGGATCAGAAGTTTGATTATGTATGATCTTGTAATATCAGACGGAAATCATACGAGAAATTTTGGTGTTTACAAAATTATATCAAGTCTTGATATACGATTCTTGCAAGATCATATTAACCTATGATGTGAAAGACTTGGCCTAAAGTTTACAACAAAATAAATTCATTTTGCTGTAGATTTTCGCACCATAAATTATCTGTACGATCTTGTAAGAATCGTACATCAAGATTTGATATAAGTGTTGCAGACACCAAAATTTCTCGTGCAATTTCCGTCGGATATCACAAGATCAGAGATGCGATCTTAAAGTCTGATTGTTTGACCTGGGTGTTCTTTTTACGAAGATTCATTATGAGTCCAATGTAAAATCAACAAAATATATTAGTTTAAGATTTTTTCATCAAATGAAATTTACTATAATAGATTATTAGAAAAACGCAACTTACTAGTATTTTTCTACTCTTTTATAGTTTACATTTGATTGTCGACCGTTGTCAGTTAATGATAGATATATTATCGTATCCTCAGTGTAAACTATCAATATGAAATAGCCTTTGTATGATTGACTATCTGTTGAGATAATTGATATTTAATTATCCTGTAGAATTTACGATTATATTATATTTCTATATCCTATTGAAGTTCATTAGACATGTTTTTTTTTAAGAATATTTTTATTTAAAAAAATGAATTCTTTTAAATAGAATCAATATCAAATTAAAAAAAAATCTCTTAAAACAATTCTATTTTACTTGATTATGAATTGATCGATAAGTTGAGATAATGACATTTTTTCAAAATTGAGAAAAAAAAAACATCTAAAATAAAATCTTGCTACTATGTTATCAATTGATATCAAAATATGCGTCAATAATCATATTTAAAAAAGGATTTGTTTCTGTGAATCATTGATAGTAACACACAAGAATTTTGAAAAACAGAAGATTCTTTTACTTTTTTTTTTATTAACAAGAGCGAAATATATAAGAAGAGACTCGTGCAAAATATAATCAGTCAATAAGAATGCTTTGCCATATTATTAAAAGGTTTCTATCGGCAATTATTGTTTTACTGGAAATGTTAAATCAAATTGTTCTGTTCTTTCCGATGGAGTATTTCATTTATATATGTTTTTATTAATTGAAATACAACTAATTTGATAACATGCATACAAGCTATTCAATTATTTGTTAAAAGTTATTTTATCTTTCGATTTGAGAATACTTTTCATCATTTATGGCGAATCTCAGATATATTTAAGATTATATAGAATGATAAATTAATTAATTAAATTGATAGGTGATGGTGATCGTATTTCATTATTTGCATTAGAATTCAAAGCTATTGTTGTTGTTGTTAGTGCATTAAATACTTTTGTATCAATATATGTTACAGATAAACTTGCTGTTGGTAAGAGTTGTTGATTAGAATGTCCAACATCAATAATTAAAAATTTTACAGTTTATTTACCATATATTAAAGAAAATAAATACAAATATTGCACGTGATTTCGAGAATATATTCTTAATGTAATTATTGGTAATAATGGTCAATATTTAAACTCAAATAAACGTGTTATATTAATAGAATTAAAACAAGAAACTTATCTATGACAAGGATATATTTATGTAATTCAAAATAATAAACAATTTGATGGTGTTATACTTAATTATGTATTATAAACTGATATAAGACAATTAATTCATAGTAACATATATTTAAATAATATATTATTAGATTTATTTCGACATTTTTCACAATATGACCAAGGATGTATCAAATATTTTGAAGATAATAATCGAATGCGTGCACTTTAGACTTATAAAATAAATGAAGATTTTCACAAAAAAAAATCATCTTGTCTTTATTTATTAAATACAACAACAGAAGATATTATTAAAAAAAGTAAAACAAAAAATAAATTAAAATGAAATGAATTTATTTCTATGTGATATATATTTTATCAAAATTTGATGAAACTTTTTCTTACATTAATATATCGAATAAATCGATGTCATTTCGATGATCAAAATGTTTTGAAAAACATCTTTTAAATGTAATACAATCACCAGCTGAAGACGGTTTACCAGGATATTCAATATTCAATATTGTAGAATATATCCAACAAAAATCAAAAAAAGAAAATTATCTGTTTTATTATTTAAATATAAATTTAAATAATTATATTTAATATGTTAAGATGATATGGATTCAGCATAATCAGTTCAAATTTCACGACATTTTGTCTAAACAATTTATATTGAAATGCCACGTTTATGATATACATCTACAATTCAATATTTATCTATAGAATTTTTAAAATTGAAATAAATATAATCTAGATGCTGCAGCAGCAGCAATGACAGATGAAGAAGGAAATTGCTGTTGGAATTTAGCAATAATAAATATATTTTCACTAACATTTAAACTTGTTCGCGTTCATGTTTAAATAAAATAAGTTCAATGGATTTCTCTGGTAGAAGAACGAGAAGTAAACAAGTATCAATTCAATATTTTTGAACTGATGATGTTTGGGGTAGAAAAAAAACACCAGATAAAACAATAGGAAATCTAGTCTAGAATTATCAAGATTAAATATAGATTATCTATTTTTATTTCCATATTTATATATAACATGGTTATAATAATCGTTTCCTTTTTTCTATCTTTAATTAATCGTGTTTCTTAAAATAAAAAACCATTTTTAAATATTTATATAAGAATAAAATGTTTACGAAATTGTCAAACAAACTGTTTAACTAGAAAGTTTCATTTGATTAAGTCAATTTTATTTGTAATCAATGATCACTTTTATAAATAATAAAGATTTAAAATATATTAAACAGATTCTAACAGATATATTAGTTTCATGTTTTGGAAAATCACATTGATTTTCAAAGAAAATTATATCACTATCAGTTTTTAGTCAACGTTTTCTACTTTTTCACTTATCTACTAGAAACTAATAACGAAAGAGACACTATTATTTAATCATTTAACCTTATTGGAATATTTTTCTCTTAATGAACTTCCAGATAAAATATGTGACCATCACAAGCTCTTTTATCTTAGCTAGAAGTACAAATTAAATCGTTTTGTTTAGTGTAAGAAATTTTCAATAGCTGTGAACTGATTTTTGATCAGTTTGATGTAACAAGTCACTTTTACAATGATTTCCTCATCACAACTTTCGATCCTGCGAGAGTCATTACAATTGGGTAAAATCAAATGGAAATTTTAGTGCAACTAGATCTTTCATATATATATCGGTCTATGTAGAACGTCTAATGCAAATATAAATCAATATATGAATAAAAATTTACTGTAAAGAAATTCGAAGTTAAAATGAATGCTAGTGAATTAAGTATAAACTGTGAATTGTAGCGCTTTCTATCGGTATTAGTTTTTCTTTTTCTTCATTCCTATTCGTATAAAAACTGAAGCCAACAGAATTAAAAAAAAACAAAATTCCTATTTCCATGTGATGTTATTATTATTATTTATGAAAAATCGATTTTTTATTATTCGAAAACGTTTAATGATGAAATTGATATTTTCGATAATTTTCTTAGTAGTTTTTTATAAATATTCTCACTTAGCCAAATCATCACAATCAAAAGGATTTTCAATAAAATTATCATATTCACAATTACTTAAAGGTTGTTTTATTTTTGTCTTACAAATTTAAATAAAATAATTATTGCTATTTTTTTTCTGTTTTTAAACAGAAAGACAATCATCAAATGATAAAAAACTTGCACCATATAATTCAATATTGGGTGTCGCTTCATCAAATGTAGCTGCTTATTCAAATGGTAATGATAGTTATATATCATATGAAGATAGTTATTTATATGGAATATATATGGGAATAAAATGGCAATGTGTTGAATATGCACGTCGATGGACTTTTTTACGTAAAAGTTCAGTATTTGAAAGAGTTATAGGTGCTAATGATATATGGAATCAGATATATTATATTGAAAGAGTTATTGATAAAGAAAAAATTCCATTAAAAAAACATTCAAATGGTTCTCCAAATCGACCAA